CTTGGCCATTACGGCTTAGTTATCTTTACATAGGTTTCTTGTTCTTGCTTAATGCATTGCTCAAAATACACACTTGTAATCTCTTAACTTAGTACATTCCTTTCTTAATGTGTCTTTAATTCATATCCTCATTACTATGGCTTAATTAAGACTTAGGAATGCCTAAAATGCAATGAGGATGCCAAAATATGAGTTGAAACACTTGGTCAAATTTCTAAAAACAGGGTCCCCGCTCGAGCATAGCTTTTCTCGCTCGAACAGACATACAAAACGTGAGTGGTTGCTCGAGCAGTCTGCAAAGACATGAAACTTTTGGGAGCTTGCATTTCATGCTCGAGTGAACTTCTGGTCGCTCAAGCGGAAGTACAAGGTCATAGAGTGGTTGTTTGAGCGGAGAATCCGTCGCTCAAACGGGAAAGCAGAATCTGGGATTTCCAAATTACACTTCCAAGCTCAAAACTCGAATTCAACTCTCCAAAACTCAACTCTTGGGCACCAAAACTTGAGATAACATTTGTAAACTTGCAAAATATGATGAATTAAGGATTATTTCATGAAATCATGGCCCAATAGCTTGCCAATAGCTCAAAATTCATCTTGAAACATATGAAACAAAGCATGCATGTAAAACCTTTCAAACTCTTTTCTCCAAAACTGATGAAGTTAGCAAATTGAGCTTATAAGCTCCAAGTATGTAAGAAATCCCTTTTCAAAACATGAAATCAAGGTTCAAAACATGATAATTCAAACATGCATGTACCAATCAATTCACAATAACACCTTGAATGCTCAAGCTCAACTCAACATGGTAAAACTCTATATGTGCATGTATGCATGTGGACTTCTCTTCCAAATTCTTTTTCAAGACTTCAAAAACATGAAATTGACTTACAAAACTTGGTGAAATATGCATGCATGTACATTTCATCTTCCAAATTCAACACAAATAATGAAGCTCATAGCTAACATGATGATTTAATACCTCCATGAGCATGCACATGTGAATTATAACCCAATTCTTCATTCTAAGCTCAATTTACACATTTAAACACATAATCTTCGTGTTGATAACTTAGATTCATAAATTGGGGGTTGAATTCATACCTATAGTCTTGTATTAATTAGATTCTTGCACAATATTGATGATATAATAACCCGACCCTCCTATGTGCCTTTTATCTCTAGTTTTATGAGAAATCATATGTTTAATATGAAATTTCATGTAAAGTTATGCTTACATGTGGGAATAGTTGAGTTATAGTTATCTACCTGTTGCTTGTTGAAATACATCTGTTAAAATTAAATTGTTAACTTGACAATTTAAAGCTGTAGAGGCGTAATAGACTGAGATTGAGTATGGGAACATGCTAATAGGAATTTTTAGAGCCATTTGGGAAACTTAATTGAAAATCTATTTTGTCTGAATCGTTAAGGCTCGTTTGGCTAGGATAAAACCTAAACTTATATAAGTGTTCTATAAGCCCTTTTATTTGGACTCATTCTTTGAAATATAAGTGGAGTGGCAATCTAGAGAACTTGGTAGAAGGAAGAAAAGAAGAGAGAAGAGGGAAGTCAACAAATTTGGGGATTGAGAAACTTGTTAGGAGCAATTGAGGAATTCAACTTAAAGTGAGCATAGATCATTGATACACTCTCAATTCATCTTAAATTGATTTGAATTAAACTTTATATTGAAGTATTCTTCCTCCATGAAAGCTAGGGTTTGATTGGACACATGATCATGTACCTCTTGAATGTGTAAGATAGCAGCATAATCACTTGATTTCTCTATGCTTTGCCTAATCTCACTCTTTTATGTGTTTGAATTCATATCAATGAATAGCTAATCAATTGTGCATGTATATCAACATAGTGAGAGTGAGAAATCATGGAAATTTGAAGTGTAAGAGGGCAAAGAGCTAGAATTACATGTTTATGTGTTGTTATGTCATGTTTTAATGCAAATCTATCTTGAGTTTGGCTATGAAAACTACCCCCCTTGTGCCCCAAGATTGTGGAAGTTTCGGACTGAAAAACAAGGCAGACGACTGCACATGTGAGGCCCATGACCGCACATGTAGGAGGCACAACCTCATGTGCGGGGCTCACAGCCGCACGTGCGAAAAACAAGGGAGAAGGGTAAGAGCATTCTGCTAAAAAGGCACGTGCGGTCAACCTTTCCGCACGTGCAGCCTAAGCCGAAAAATTTCACGATCTTCTCTCACTCTTCCCGACCTCTTAAAAATATGGTTATGTCCGTTTGATGCTCCCCTGATACACTTAATTACGTGAAGCGTAGCAAATTAAATAATGAGAAATAAAAAGAAAAGTGATGTGCTAATGATTTATATGCTTTGTGTAGGGCATCCGCAGGAAAAAACCGGCATCCGCCCCCATCACTGTGAGTGATAGTAGCTTACTAAAACGTTCTGTTCACATTTTGTGTTTATAAATGTTGTTTAAGACCCAATTCATTGGGTGAGTACTTTATGTTTTATGCAATGTGTCTGTTATATATGTATATATGTTTGAACCCTGACATATGAGATATGGACCCAAGGTCGTTCTGTTTTGTTACTAAAATGGGCCTGAAGCCGTTCTGTAATGAAATGGGCCGAAGGGCGTTCTGTAACATAATGGGCCTGAGGCCGTTCTGTGATATATTGGGCCCAAGGTTGTTCTATGTTTTGATGGGCCTAAGGCCGTTTTGTATTTAGCTGGGCCTGAGGTCGTTCTGTCTTATGTACATCCAAGACCATTTAGAAAAGGGAGTCATAACTAAGCGTGTAACTTGAAAAAATGCACCATTAATTTATGTTCATACTTCTAATTTGTTTATACTACCATCATCCACTGAGCCTTGCTCACTTTACTTTTCTGAATGTATTGTAGGTGACCAGCTTGTGGATCGACCCTAGACTAGCCCAGAAGCTTGTAGCTGAACCTGCTTTGTTACTCACCCAAAGTGACACTTTTGTCTCATTTTGGTCAATTGCTATGATAACCTGTTTTGTTGTAAGTTTTGGGAACAATGAGCATGTGTATAAAAGTTAGTAATACTTAACTTCTAAGTTGTTTTTCTTTTGCATTATGTATTGTGAAACGTTCATGGAATGTTATATATGTATGACAAAGCAACACAATCCTGGCATTTAGACACAGCTCAATGAACGTTCATTCTTTTATTGTTTCGCTTCCGTTTGAGCCCTGAGGTTAAGTGTTATTAAAGTAACTAAGTTTAGGCCTCATGTGAGGCCGATCATGTCCAAACTTTTAGGAGCTGGTTTGAGTCATGACAGATGAACTCTAGCAAAATCTTTAACTTTTACCTTGAATCTACACTTTCTCTCTCTAAAATGGAGTTATCTCTCTCTAGGATGTATGAACTCAGATTTTGGCACTAAGAAATGAGAGAATTGAGCTCAAGAATGAGCTTAAGGCCCATTTATATAGTTGTAATGCCATAATACATTAATTAGAACATTAGGCTTGTCAAACACAACTTAATTAACCAAACTGATTCAATTTTTAATAAAAATTGTCATATGGTTCTAAAAATTCCAAATAACAAATTAACATAATCAATTTTAGTTTCAAATATCGATAAGGCTTTCAATTTTCAGATCAAAACAGAATTCCTAACAGATATCACTACGAGTAATAGATAAAAAGCCAAATAATATACAAAACACATAATAAGTACATAATTTATTTTAACCATTTAATTAACATCTTTAATTACGAATTAGCACTTAATTACGGATCGGGGTTGTTATAACTAAACACTCCAACAAAGATTCAAAGGCTTCTCAAAGTCATCATGTAAAAAGAACACAACTCACAGAAGAACAATTTAAATATATGTTCCAAGGGGTTGACATTCTTGGTAAGAAATCATCGTGGAAACATCTAGTTGAGGTGGCATGTTAGTACACTATTGGAACAACTAAATAAAATTTTATGGATGACATGTAGGTTCCAAAAAAATTTAGATGAAAGTAAACTAACAAGAATATAGGATTTTTCTAACCAAGGATAGGCAAATGACATATGGTTACTAGAAAGTAGAATCAAAACCAAAAAGAGCTAGAAAAAAAAAAACATATATAACTTAGAAAAATCAAGGAAACTATTTGTATCCGCTAGATAAATTTAATCAATATTCAAAAACTAAACAACCAATTAAACAAAAGTTAGGAGTTGAAGGCACCTTCATAGATTTATGCATAGAAAGGTAAGGTACAACACTAAAAAGAACTAAAGAATATCATGGAAATGGGAAAAAAGCACCACTCTACTCCAATTTTAGGGAAATCATAAATAAAATTACAAGTCTTAATAGCCAAGTCATATAGCTCAAACATCAGTCATTTTAATACCAGTATGTCATTCATAGCAATGGGTTCATTCCTTCCAACTTTCCTAACAAAGTATTAGTGTAAAATAAATAAATAATAATAATAATAATAATAATAAAAAGGAAAACAGAGAGTGGGAAGAAAGAATTCAAATACTACATAACCAACCATAAGTAGTAAACAAAGCAATCTACATCGTGCCTTGGTTCTGAGTCATGCTTAATTTTTCTTTTTCTTCAAAATTTTTCTTTATTGTCCATCTACCCCATACACTAGCCACGAGAATGAAACATCTTTTGCAAGCAGATTATCTAGCAATCAATTCATTGAAGATGAAACATCTCTTGTAGGTAAATAAATTACCTACAAGAGATGTTTACCTACAACTACAAGAGATGTTTCATCTTCAATGAATGACCAAATTTTCTACCTAATGAATGACTAGATGTCTCACATGGGTATGGGGTCCAAAAAAGTGTAAACCCCACATCCATGTGAGACATTTTGTGATTTTTATTTGGTAGAAATTTAGTATCCCTATAGCATTACCCTTTTGTTAATCCGCTACTCTCTATATATATTTCACATAACAAGCAAGCATTAAGTCATAAACCACTCCAAACAGATGTAGAAGGAGATAAGATGGTAGCACTCAAGGTTTTCTTTGCCTTTCTTAGTGTCCTCCTCATCAATGCACAAGGTGAATTACCGATCAATCTTTTTCTCTTTTCTTTATTTTTATTTTTTATTTTTACACTGCTAACATGGTCCATCTATGAACACCGAAAGGAGTAAACAATGTAGGATGTTACCTGAGAAAACAAAGGTCTTAATTGTCTTCTTCTGGTGGCCCCAAGGGTTGACTTGTATTGTTTGAGTTTTTTATTTTATTTTAATTATTATTATTATGTTTTGCATCAGCGAAAGCCAATTGTTTGAGTTATTATGGGTTCTATTCGGCCACCATATAAATTCTCTGTTCATACCATTTTGTAATTTGGGTATATATTAACTGTTTAGTACCATTTTGTTACTGGGATATATATCAACTTTCGAGTAAAAATGAGAAGTTTAGATATAATTCCCTGTTCAGTAGTTGATATCTGAACAACTACATTTTGTTCAACAGTTAGATATTTGAAAAGCTCTCGAGTACTACATGTGGGACTGGCAAATGCTCGAAGACTTCTAAATTCCTTTTTAGGTACTTCTAAATTTTGATTCAAATACAGACTTAAGAATTAATATATATATATATTTTTTTTTTTTTACAATAGAAATTTGATGTATATTGTCAACCGTACTCTTACAAACCATTATATATATATATATATATATTTTTACAATAGAAATTTGATGTATATTGTCAACCGTACTCTTACAAACCATTTTTAAAATAGTTAGTTTAGAGCACCTCCAATCGAACTGTCAAATCTTATGTGGCACAACATCTCAATTTTGACATGAAGAATGAAGTCCACCCAATATGCCAAATATTGAGTTGGCATTTGGCATGAACTCAACATGTCAAATTTGACATGCTCTATATTCATGTCAAATGTTGAGTCCATCAAATAAAATAATTTCATTTTTAAAGATAATAGAATAATAAATTTGACATATTAAGTGGAATGTTTCTATGTCAAATTGACATATACTAATTTGCCACCCAAGCCCTCAAAAAAAATTTGGCACACCAAATTTTGAAGGTTTGGATGGAGATGCTCCTAGAAAACAAAACATCATGCTTTTGCTTTTGTTTTTGGTACAAAGCAAATATTAGGAACATAGATAAATGTCTCATAAATTATGAGTCCCACATGTGATTCTCACATCATATGAGTCCCTCACTTAGTGAGACATCTGTGTCCCTTCTGTGCACTTTAGACTTCGTTGTTTTGAAATAGTTGGTGTGCTAATTAACCATGTTATATGTAGGTTTTGAAGAGTGTTCTCCATCTTCAATCAAAGTAAAAATAACGAAAACTGGACATGCTGTAAAGGGACAACCAGATTATGAAGTTGTGTTTACTGTCGACGACGACTGCCCAGGAGGTGAAGTTTGGGTTGTAGTAGGATGCAATGGATTCACTAGTGTTAAGCCGATTGAACCTTTCATTTTTAAGAAAGACGATTCTATAGGTGGATGCTTGTTGAGATATGGCGGATCACTTTATGCAGGGGGCCCACTCAAGTTTAAGTATGCAGGCCAATTACCCACTGATAAATTTAGACCTATAAGCTCTCAGATCGAGTGCTCTTGATCTCAGTAATGAATCAATTCTGCAACTCTGAAAGACTCTTCAAATAAATGTGTATGTATGAGAGAGAGAGAGAGAGAGAGAGAGAGATTTGTGTCAAGAATTATGTTATAGTGCTTTGGATTTGAATATGAACTATGATATAAAAAATTGTTTACATTTTTTGTTGCAGTGAAACATGTGTTTTATGATGATGTTCATATGTCATATGAGAATGAGATAAATAGAAGTTTGAAGTAATGTGGTTAACATATCAGCAATCATCAACGTTTATTCACCATCATAGTGTCTTGGGATCTATATATATATTTTTTTTTTTTTGTTTTTTATCTGCTCTAGAGGCATTTGTTATTCATTAAAGCTTAGGGAAAATTTAGTGTCGTAAACATAGCGAAGCCTTCCAAATTGGAGGTCCTGACTAGGTAAAATTAAGCATAAACATTGCATGACAAGTTAATCTTCTTCTCCAACATCCTTTTCTCCTCAAAAAGAAAACGGGAATGAAAACTGGAAGAAAGTGTCTTCAAAATCAGAAACTTCTCCTTGAGATTTGTGAGAGACGGGTAGTGTTATCACACAAAATCTGGACTAGTTACGATGGAGGAAAATGATGCCCGAAACCCAGAATTCATCATCTTCCAAGGCTACTGTTTGGAATGCCAATTAATTTTCCTTTTCTATTTTCTTTAGTATTTGCGGATCCAAATGTGCTCCAACCAAGAAGATGGGGAATATGTACCCTAATATTGCAAGATGCATCAAGAATTAAGAAACCTCACATGTGGGATGAAATCAGCACAAAAGAAAGAGTTCCATGACCAAGAACTATAACCTGCACATCGGAGTGTATTGTTAGTGTTGCCCGGCTATATGTTTGGCTGCCAAATAGACTCCTCCGAAGTGATTGGAAACAAAAAGGTTTATGAGTAAGAAAATGCAAAAATTTGAGATTCGGTGTGCATCATCTTCAAAGAGTATGATGTTTGTTCTCTAAAAATCACTTAATGATAACTGTCTTACATGCCCCTAGTTGGGTGATTATCTCTAGAAAGTGAGACCATTATTCTCTCATATAAAATATTCACAAGACAATCCGTTATTCCATGCGACAAAATGTTATCACGTTATTCACATGAAATTCCTAATTAGTGTACCTTAATTCAAAGGGCCACTATGCTCCGCCCAGTCCAATATTGCTAGCTTACTTTGACCCTCTTCATCTCTCATGGAGAAAAAGTTATGTAAATCCACCTGTTCAACCCAGAATCAAGGGACCTCGAATTATACCACTCAGGTATAGGTGATATGCAATGCAAATAATGTCCATGTCACCATGCTTGTATTCAGATTGCATACTTGTATTTGTTCCTTCTTCAGAAAAGAAAACCAAATATGCTGAACAAATAAGGATGTGGAATGCAAAATAGCACATCAACGTCTGCAAAACCTTTCTTAGTTTGGCTTACAGGATTGAGAAGACAAGATCAGAGTGCCTAGATAATTGCGAGAGGGCTGCACCAAAAAGAGATGCAGTAGCACAGAAGCCCAGAGGCCTCAAAGCCATAAAATAAGTCTCTTTGATTGAATCATTCCTCCCACATCTGCACAACATTAGGGGTGTTTAGGAAGAAAAAAAATAGCCTAATTTAGACTAAAATTCACAAAAAGACAAAATAAGTTAAAATAGCTAATAAGACAAAATATCACATCAAACCTATAATTATTTCACTTTTTCTCTCACAAACATCACATCCAACCATAAAAAAATCCAATCATCTTCCCAAACACAAAAATTTTAGCCTACTAAAATAGCCAAAAACTAAAATAACCTACTAAAATAACAACTTCCCAAACGAAGCCATTATGTAAGATAATAATCAACCCCTCTCACAGGTGGAAACATTGTGGGTATAACATTGCTCATAGGATCATACACGAAACAAAACCATTAGGCAAGGTTCCAATTTAAGCTTGGGGCAATCATTGCGTTAAGGCAACCACCACGGCAACACATTTAACCACATTAAGTTAATCTGATTCCTCCAATAATTTTACCAAATAAAAATATTATGCAGCAGACTCTTATTTAAGCAGATATGACAGAGAACTTCAAATTCATAAATTTGAGCATCACTGTTGTTTAACAAAAACAAAAGCTTCCCAATTAAACCTAGATAACACTGAATTTATCAGCCAAAAAAAAAAACAAACAAACAAACAAACAAAGACAATAACAAAAACAAAAACAAAAACTGGATAACACTGACATAACAAAAATCCAGGATTGAAGAAAGTCAACAGACAAGCCTCATCCTAGCAAGTGAGATAAATATGATTATTAAGTCTTCTCTTAGTTCATCCTTTGAGCAGCTTCCTTCGCAAGAAGCCTCTCTTTGGCCTTTGTTTTGGCCTGGGATTTGGAACCCATGATACCACCACCCCACTTCTTCCTGTACTCATCATACTTGTCATTGAAGTTAGCCTGAAACAGCAAAACGACAGAAATAGAAGGAATGATTATAAACAAAACCACAATGGTACATGTGCCACTAGATTCATGAAAAAATTACACCACCTTAATAGCCTCCAAGATTCTGCTGAATTCCATCTTGTCTTCATTCTTCACAGTGGTCAGGCACAGAACTGAAGCAGTTTTCTTATGGACGATCTGTAAGTTAAGGCTATATAAATTAGTACATCAACCATCAATTCAGGCTTTCCGGAGCATTTTAAGCACACATTTTAACACAAGATTGTGAAACACTTACAGTTCCCAATCGAGATTTTCCTTTCACGATGCAGTACGGAATCTCCATCTTCCTGCACAGTGCAGGAAGCCAGACGACCAATTCTATTGGGTCCACATCATGAGCGATAATAACCAATTGTGCTTTGTTCTGCAGGAAACATATATGTAATAGCTGTTACTTGAAAAAGAGGCCACACACAGAGTACCATAGTATTTAAGAAAAAAAAAGAAAAAAGTAAAACCAGACCTGCTCAATGAGGTAGGTGACATGGTTGAGACCATATTTCACAACAATTGGCTTTTTAACCTCCACAGGTTTTCCTTCAGCCTCAGCCTGAGCCCTTTTCAAAAGGCGCTCCTTTTTTGCTGCTTTATCTTCAGGCCTGTACTTGAGAAGCGTCTTAAATAGAGTCGTTGCTGCATAGTTTCAAAGAAAGAAAGTTATTAAGAAACCGTGAAAATTTGAAAACCATTGACAAAATGTTCATCATGGATGCAAGAACTGAACTAAACTTGTGTTTAGTTTGAACTGGCAAACTACAGATATCAGAAGTACAGTGGCAATATATGAACCTGGTTAGAATATTTTAATTTCAATTGACCAGTAAAAGAACAAATGTTCACTTTACAAAGCAACTAGGATATCATGCCATAAGCCAATCATGTACTTTTAATTATTCAGGTTTGTTTAACAAACCTAGACGAAAAATTTAGTCCATATGTCTCAACATGTGTACATCAAAATGGCATATTTTAAGAAATGATACTAACAGCTTGGCAAAAGAAGAGCTATAGACAGAGCAGAACTTTATAAAAGAATAATATATATTCCGGAAGACACAAAAACACATACATCAAGCATCCAACACAGTATTCAACACTGCAAGGGAAAAAATGATCTCCATGGCCATTGTGGAACTTGTCAACTCTACATAATCCAAGATACAGTAAATATGGGCCCACACTGCAGTGAATAATGTCTTAGACCAGTCCCTATCATCAGTAAAGACATATATGACAAACACATTTCTTCTCACCCAAATGTACAATTAAACATCACAACTTTGGATAGCAATAAACCAAGTCCAGGGAAAACAAGTGCGAGTTTCACATTAGCATCTTTTAAGTTTTTCATTAACTTTTAAGGATCTGAAATGAATTGATTTGACATCACTAATTTAAGACACATTCAATTCAATGTAACCAATGGATTTGAGAGCTTTACATTGCTGGATTTTAAATAACATGGAGAATACAATTATTGGAAATCAGCCTAGAAAGTATTTTATATGTACAAGGATCATACCAAAATCAATCTCTCACACACTATTCAATCCTCCACCTAACCTTGCTATAAATTTGAAAAATCTAACCTCATAATTAGGCACAATTAAAAATTTTGAAAACAATGAACAAGCTATCCACACGAGTAAATCAACTTTGCATTGGACTAAAAGACAATATTTGTAGAGGATTAGATGCAAATTAAATAATAGTTTATGAATGAATTAATTGATGTTCTCTCACCAAGGTTCTTGTCAAGGGTCTTGGTGAATTGGTTCAAGGGAGGTGGGACCTTCAAGCGCTGGTTGAGGATCCTTCTCTTCCTCTGAATTTGAACAACCTTGGGCCACTTCACAAACCGGTGCAGATCTTTCTTCGGGGGCAATGCCCCTCCTATCCCAAACTGCTTTGGACGCTTCTCGAACAGCGGGTTCACTACCTTCTCCTATACCATATATATACCATCATATATCAACATATTAACTACAGAAATAGACTGACTACTTATTTGTGCAAATTAATAGAGATGTGATTCTGTACCGGTTTCTTCTTAGCTGCTGCAGCTGGTTTCACACCTTTCTTTGGGGCCTTCAAAGCATAAAAATGAAATTAGCATCGATGATTAATCAAAACCAAGTTTTCTCAAACTGAAATCAAGTAGCATGAAATGTAATCGTGATGAGCTTAAGAAATGTAATCGTAAATACCATGAAAATATGCCTAGTTGTGAACAGCACTGAGACATATATAATACATATATATATATATAGAGAGAGAGAGAGAGAGATAGATCTGGCTCACCATTACTGGATTGCGGGCAGAGCTCAGCGACTAGGGCTTGCGGACGGCGAAACGAAAACCCTAAAAATTATAGCAGCCCCCTTTGAGCCTGGAGTGTAATGGATTATATATCTAGTATGGTCTGGTCAAACGCTTTAAAACGCCGTCGTCTGTTATCCTATTATTGGGTGTTTTGTTTTTCAGGGCTCTCTTGTCAAATGGGCTCCATGTCAACTGGACCTATATTGATTGGGCCTATACGCTTGTACAGGTGAACCAATTTATACGAGACAATTGACGTAAAATTAAGGCCCATAATTCTAGCCCAACTTACAACAGTACCATTTTCAAGTCATTCCACATCAGCATCTCAAAAAAAATAAAATAAAAGGTCATTTCACGTCTTTTTTTCTTTTTTTTTTTAGACTTAACTACTCATAAATTATTCAGAATTATTAATTTATGATTCAGATTTATTCTACACATAAACCTTATACTACACAAATTCAAACTCAACCACACATTTTTATAAGGGGTAAATTCATAGTGGTTAAGGTAATGCTCATTGGGTGATCCTGAAATACAGCCACTCACGTGGCCCCAATGTATTTTGATTGGTAGAGAAGGTAAAACTCATAATGTCGTATCGAGTGATTGAGAAACATGAGAGAATATAATGTATGATAATTAGTTCTAAAATATCAACACGTAATGCTTCAAGAAAATTGAATTGTTTTTCATGATTAAGGTGGGATTCATTATTCTATTTTTTTTGGATAAATTATAAATATAAATATGCTAATTATTTATTATAGTTATAAAAATTATATTTTCTCCTTTAAAATTTCTAATCATGTAACAAAACCATTAAGTCAATTTATAGTTTTGAATAATATCAATAATATATTTCAATTAATAATTCTAATAATTTCATTATTACATGAAAATATAGTTATAAAATTTACTTTCTATAAATTTTTTAAAATATTAAATCCTAATAAGAGTTATCTATAATTTTTTAAATCATAAAAAGTAAATTGCATTCTAAACAAATTGTGTATTTATAATTTATTTTTCTAAGCATAAACACTATGAGTTTGGGATAAATATAATTAAAAATTTTAATGTATAGTGTGAAGTGGCTCAACCATTAAACTATTTAGCTTATTATTGTCTCAAAAAAATTATTTATTTTTTTATTAATGATCATTTTAATTTTTTTTAAACACACGAAAATAAGGTATCAATTTGATGTTTAACTTAAGTCTCAACAAATAGCTTAACTAAATACTATTTAAAAAATAAATAAATACTATTTTAAATCGTAACTAAACATTACTTTAAAGGATAAACAATTACACTTTACAATAATATTCAGGTTTAAATCCTTTATAATTTTTATTAAAAATAAGAATACATAAAATTACAAGAAATTTTAAAATGAATTATGTCCCAATTGATTTTTTAAAATTTAATTTATAGTATAATTCTTCCATAATAATTATAATTATTGACCATTGATAATGAAATAGCTATGCCAAGCTTGGTTCAATTGAAGTAACACAGTTATCTGTCTATTATGTGATTAAAAAAAAAAAGGATTACTAACTCACTATTAAACTGCCAATTTATATAAATTGGCGTGTCTATACACCTACTTCAATTGATAATGAAATAGCACTCATATTTTATCCAACTGATTTATAAGGTAAAAGTACCTTCAAAATTTATACAATATAAAAGGGTAGGGGTTATCTGCTTTATTAAAGTAGTGAGTGAAAGAGAAACCTTATCACTAACAGACACAAATAATTACAGACATAAATATTTACAATAGCTATTCGTCGTTTCTTGGAGTGCTTTTCTATGATTGTTGAAGAGAAGCTTTATCTTCTAAATTTTTGTCCTTTTCTTCTGAGATGCCAATAATTAATGTAAACACTTGGATGATGAATCTTCAAGGTGGATCAAAATTTCAAAGAGTCAAAATCAAAAATCTACAAGGAATTGTAATACTTCCAAAATATTATACAATAATACACTGCTCTAATGATAAAAGAAATTGATATCTTAATTTTTGATCTTCTAATTCTTGTATAAGCTCAGTACTAGTTTTGATTTTAATCCTAAATTCTTCTTCTATAGATATAAAATTTTGATTTTTAGAATTCTTTTATGGACAATATTTCCTTAATATTTCTACTCGGGTTGCTCTCCTTGCATTCTAAAATTCTTTTTCTTTGGCAAAACTATTTTTAGGCAATGTTTGTTTTCATTACATGTACTCCCACCTTGAAGCTAAGCCTCGTTCAACATAGTATATTCTTATTTTCTATTCTTTACCTTTCCCTTTCTGCTTACAATTTGCTCTCAAACGCCTAACCACGGCTCACGCGGGCTCTTCAGCTAAGGTCACTCAATAATAAAATAGAAAACAACAGTTATTACGAAGATGAAAAGTATGTAATATTAATGAGCAAACAAGCATTCCATAAACTTAGTTTTTTCAAAAAGAAAATAAATTTTTAGAATAGAAGAGTTACCCTTTTGAAATATTTAAGAAAAACAAGAGACTACTCACACTTCATATTAATATGTAATATATTTACAAAGATTATGTTACAGACTTTGAGTTTCCGAAAGACTTGGAATACTTAGAATTTTTGAGAGGGTTTGGAATTTTTTGCAAAGTAGAGTGAAGGGAAATTTTTCATTGCTTCTTCCGTTGACATGAACGCCAATTTATACAATACAAAAAGAAGATAAAAACAAAAACTCAAAACCTAGACTTAATACCCTACGTCCCAACTTTTCCTAAAAATCGAAGACCTATTCAAGCCTAGAGATAGGCTTTTTCAAAATCTGTCTTTAAGTAATAAAGACAAAGACTATGTATACAATTTTATGCCTATTTTGACAAACTTTCTACACATATAAAAACAAGTAGAGGGTTTGGATAACAATGCCGGGTACTACTTTGGGCCCCATCGCACATCATTCAATCCTCCATTTTTGATAAAATTTTGACACTATAATTTATTACAAGACACGCGTAAAGATTCTCACAGCTTTTCTTTAATGAAACAGGGTAGAGGTCATCTGCTTTATTAAAGTAGTGAGTGATGGAGAAGTCTTATCACTGGTAGACACAAATAATTACAGACATAAATATTTACAATAGCTATTTGTCATTTCTTGGAGTACTTTCTCTAATTGTTGAAGAGAGGCTTTATCTTCTAAATTTTTGTCATTTTCTTCTGAGATGCCAACAATTGATGTAGACACTTGGATGATGAATCTTCAAGGTGGATCAAAATTTCAAAGAGTCAAAATCAAAAATCTACAAAAATCTTCCAAAATATTATATGAGTCTAATTATGTGAAGTACAACTTTTTTTTTTTTTTACCCATACATTCTATATGAGAGATCATCAAGATCTGCTGCTGAAAGTTGGTCGTAAAAATCATCCCCCATAGCTGGTTCATTCCCTCATTGGTTATCTTGGTCATCTTCTCTCATTAGTGGTGACTCATAAGAGACGATGTGCTGATAGTTGGGATACTGACGTTCATCGACGAATGTTTCTTTGTTGAAAAGATAACCTGGGATAGCCAGGTTACAGTATATCTTCTGATTTCTATCTTCACAAACTAGATGTCCATAATTTTCATTATATGCTAATAGAGGATTATTATCAAATTTCCTCCATTTATTGAGCTGATCTCTGAGTGAAAATTTTCTATATGGCCAGGGTCTCCGATTGAAAAGTCCTGGGTATCTTGGAAATGATGAAGTTTCTCTAAGGTACATTTTATGCTTGGCTGGGATGCACCTTATTCCTTTCCATTCTGGTAACTTGCTATCAATCAACACTTCTACATATGGATGATGCTCTTCCATTACACAAAGTACTAAATGAACAAGTTTATTTCCAAAACTATCTATCTGATCTAGATCTGAGAAAATTATTCTAGAGACAAAGCCGTAATCTAACAATTGTGAGGCTATTAGATAACGCGGTTTGCCCATAATCTCTATCTCCAATGGCTCGAACATTGCTAGATTTATCTGGCAAAGGCAGATGTTGAAATCTAGATTACACTAACATCTATCAAAATATTCTAGCCTGTCTATACATCTTTCCTCTTGTAAGCAGGGCTGCTCTTCATCCTTGTAGAGATAAGTCCATTGATAGGCTATACCAGGGCATTGAACTCCTGCTATGGAGAGATCCTGAAGAAACTGCTGTATAGTGACTAATTCACTATTTCTGCTATCTTCGGCTAAGGAGTATATATAGGGTTTAAGGTCCTCTATTTCTTGGCTTTTCTAACAAAAAGATCGAATGATAGAATGCCTGAAGAAATACATTCTAGCACTCAATTGTTCAAATTCCTCACTGGTGAGTTGTCTGGTTTCAAGGTCAAGAAATAGAATGGGTGCTTTTTCTGGAGATAGTTTTTTAAGCTGGTTGGTTAGGGTTCGAATGGTAGCTCTCAATTGTTTTATTTCGTCTCGGAGCTGGTCTAGCTCTTCACTGACCTTTTTGCCTTTATCCATAATTTTCTTGAAATTTCTGGTAAGGCCTTCATAATGTCTGCACATTTTGAGAGGATTTTGAGAATCTGTCTGATGGTTAGTATTACTGCTTCCAATTATCTGGCTAACTGGAACTCCACTAGTAGCAAGAATGGTTGACTGCATCTTGCCCAATGTGTCCAGATAATCTTTAGCTATTTGACTGATAAAGTAATCGATCCCTATTTGTCTACGGGCATATGTACTGGCTGACTTGAAATCATAAAATCCTTTAAACTGAGGTACGGGAAAAATTTTAACTAAGGGTTCAACTTTTACCCAATCATGGTAAATACCAGGCTTGGTTCCTTTAGCTACTGCATAAAAAGAAAAGCTTTTAGACAAAGGTTTTTTCTGGATTTTTGAAAAATATATACTAAGTGAGTTTAAGGCTGACAAACGTTTAGCTTGGTGGTTATGGTTGTTCCAAAGGTTATCTAGAAGACACTGTTGAACTGGGTCTAGCTCGATTCCCGTTAATGGTCTGAATTTGTTTCTGCCTTCATAAATAGGAAAGGCAAATCCCCCAAAGTTCACGGTTTTGCTGTTCTCCAT